ACTAGTAATCATACTAAGAAGTAAATTTTTCGTCCCTGCTTTTTAGTACTAGTACTGGTACTTGAACTTAGGGCCTGGGCACTGTCCTTTAGCTTTTTAGCACCGAAGATGGTGCTCTATCAGTTGAGCCACAGCTTGACTTCTGGCTTTTTGCCAGATAATTTGAGTTAAAAGTTTCACAGACTTTTCTGGCCTGGTTTTGAGCCTTTAATCCTCAGATCTCAGCCTCCTGAGAAGCTAGGATTACAGATATGAGCCACCAGTCTTTTTCTTTATATTTTTAACACAGTATATTAAAAAAGATTAGTTTCAATATGTAACCAGTATAAAAATTGTTAATAAGATACATTGAATTTTTTTAACTTAATATGTCTTTGAAATTTGTATATATATATTTTTGTTTGTTTGGTTTTTTTTGGGTCCGGTCGTGGGCCTGAACTCTGGGCATGGGCGCTGTCCCTCAGCTCTTCAGCTCAAGGCAAGCGCTCTACCACTTGAGCCACAGCGCCACTTCCGGCTTTTTTCTTTTTGCTTATGTGGTGCTGAGGAATTGAACCCAGGGCCTCAGGCAAGCGCTCTACCACTGAGCCACCTTCCCAGCCCAAAAATTTGTATATTTTAAATTAACAGTATGTCTCAATTTGCCCATCCACATTTCAGGTGTTCAGGAGTCACTTGTGGCTAGAGGTTATTTATGGAACACTATGTCTCTAACTGGATTTAATTCCACTATTCCTCAAAGGCTAGCCAAGAGAAAATTATTTTTTCTACATTATTTTCCTACATTGTTATATTTTTATACATTGTTATATTCTTTCCTGACACAATGAGCAAAGTGCAGCCTAAATTAGGGTGGGTGTGATACTAAAGGTACCAGATTAAAAAAAAAAAAGAGCCACAGGGTAAGAGGAGATACATAGAAAAACTACTACAAATGCCATTGGTTAAAAATTCAAAAGTATTAGCCTGTCATAGTGAGTTTTTAAGGTCATAAAAATTTCTGTAGTATCATTGAGAGTAAATTTGTTGGCTATGGCTTTAAAGACAATTTTATTAGTAGTTATAAATTGCAGTAATGTTGTATATAACTGCTATGACAACTGCAAAAAAACAATGCAAAAACAAAAAACCCTCTAGTAGCATTATTATTATAAGAAAATCTTATTACAATGACTAAGGTACAAATTCCATTAGTAGTTTAATATAACAATACTAGCTGATAATTTTTACTGCAAAAACTGTAAAACCCAAAGATAAGACTGACCAGGAAAGATAGTAATTTAAGCCTATGGCTGCCCTTCTTAGACTTTAGAATCTTCATTTTGGGGTTTTCTCTCAAGACATGACTAGTAGACAAGCTGTTTCATTGAGAAGAATTTCTATCCTTTTTCAAACTACTATGACAGAGAAGAATTAAGGGTCAGCATTTCCCCTTTATTCTTTCCTAGTCTAACTTCATCTTAAGGTTAATGACACTTAAAAGCAAACCTCAAATTATTTTAAATGTTTTTTTTTTATTAAGTGAAACATCTATTATAAAATTTGCAGCCAACAACCAGGCTCACATAGGCAGGACAATGAAAACAATTTGTTACCTATGGATCTATTACATACAAATTAAACCTGTGACAGAAGGAGATGATACACCAAGACCTGAGCAAATAGGGAATTAGAAAGAGGCAACAGGAATAAAGTGTAATCCCCAAAAGGATATACTTTCTGGTAGGGAGCAGAAATGAAGCTTTCAGGAAAAAGTAATGTCTAGCATGCAAAAGGATGTGAGTTAAGATATAGCAGGAAGGTAGACACGAGAGTTACTAAGAGTAATTAAATTGGAACTAATTCTTATAAAATCCCAAGTCCACCTAAATTATATACTGCTCTTGGAATCTACTGTTTGAAAGTTGTTAATCCTTTAAGCAGTGATGCTTGGTATCATATAGATATTGCTGAAGTGTTCTTGAAGACCTATTTTGCTTGCTTCTTTCCTGTTTAAGCTTACTGTGAACAACAATAGCACACACTATTCCTAATTATCCCTTGACTGTTCATTATGTGCCAGGCACATTATATTCATATCTTCATTCTTCTCAACATCCCAGAAAGGCACTCATGATTATTGTTTTCATAGAATACAAAGCTAGAACTTAGAAAAATTAAACAATTTATGTTGCATGATGGACATTGGCTTCTAAAAAAAAAATCTTTGAGAACAAAGACTGTAACTTTTATGCCCTATTCATAGTATTTAAAAGGGTCAATACTCAGCACTCAGTGATTATTGGATAAGAAGACCAAAAGATCCCAAAGTTTTCTATATTTAAAGTTTTTCAATCAATTTCATTATTGGCTAGGCTATTTTTAAAAGTATTGTGGGAAGAAGAGACTGTTCCATGTGGTTTTCAGGAGACAGCCTGGAACTTAACAGCAGAACAATGTCAAGGTCTGCTCTTAATTTCTTCACTCATTCAGTAAACAATTCTAACCTTGGTTTTCTCATAGCAACCTTGGGGCTAGAATCAAAGCGAGCAGTTTACATCCAAGAAAATCATTTTTTGGTAAAAAGAAGAGCTGTCTTGAAACTATAGCTTAATTGAGGAAGATTCCATAAGGATCTTACTCTATTCTTTTTTTCTTCTTCAAAGGAACACACTTATTTAAAACTCATTGTTTTTTTAAGTTTTTAGCAATACTGTCTTTCTTAAGAGTATGGAAATGAAACCAAGATTACCAGGAGAAAGTGTAAGAATCTTCCAGACAGTAATATAATAATAATAAGCAGGATGCAAAAGCCTTATCATTCTCATATGGGTTGTTCCTGAAGGGAATGAACATAGTTCATGGAATGGATGAACATAGTTATGGCAATTTCTATAAATTAGTCCTTAATGTCTGTTAATGAGATCATTATGTCAGTAAATTGTAGTGATGTAATAAACTACTCAGGAAGGATACCTGGGACTCTTAAGGATATATAAATTAAGAATCAATATAATATTATGGTTATTTTAATATTTTAGAACCCAGATTTTACCAACATTTAAGTGGTAACCATGCCCTTTTCTATGAAGTCTATCAAATTCAATAGTCCACATTTGTTCTAATGGTATTATTAGATCACTTTCTTTACTGAAAGTAGTAAAAACAGATAGTAATATGTCTTCTAAATTCTCCCTTTTTTTGCTTTGTACTTTCTGCACTTGTGCTCAGTTCTTATCCTTCTATCCTACTTTCCTTTCATGCAAACTATCCTTTTCTACACCCCTCTTTTTTTCCCCAAGTTACTTTGTTCATATACCTTGTTCTCTAATTTTAGAAAGATTAAGAATGATCCTTATTTTTCCCCCCAAGGCCCACCTTTTATTTTTTCATGTTAGCTTCTCTCTCATTCCCAAATTGTCTATCTATAGTTTGCTGAGAGTTTATACTTCTCTGATAATTTCTTCTCTGTATCTTTCTTACTTTATTTAGTTCCTAAATGGTAGGTTACCCTCAGAATTAAATTAAATTAACTAATTTATTCTTGTGCTGGTACTGGGGCTCAGACCCAGGGCCTGGGTTGGGTGCTGTCTCTTTTTTGCTGAAGGCTGGGGCTTTACTACATGAGCCACATATTTACTTCCAGTTATTTGTTGGTTAATGGAGATGTCTTACCGATTTTCCTGCCCCAGCTGGCTTTGAACTGTGATCCTCAGATCTCAGCCTCCAGAGTATCTAGGAATACATAGAGGCATGAGCCATTAGCGCCTAGCTAGAATTATATTCTTGGTCTTTATTCTGTACAGTAGTCTGTGAGTTATTTAAAATTGAAAGCAATTTTGTGTGCTTTGCGATGTTATTTTCTCCCTTATATCCTCAAAAGGGATAGTGGAGCCCTGTGTGGTAGCTCATAATCCTAGTACTGGAGGCTGAGACAGGTTTGTGAGTTCGAGGCCAGCTTGTCTTATATATACATGTACGTACACACACACACACACACACACACACACACACACACACACACACACAATGTATATGAACTTTGACCCTTTTAACAGAGTGAAATGCCCCTGCTCCAACACTCTGTTATTATTTCATCCTCATTAAAATTACTGCCCCGTAGATCCATCAGAAGTATACCGGTTAAAGAGGTTGAGAGCAAATAACAACAAAAACCATATCTAAAAGAATATGGAAGAAACAGAGCACAAAGAATTGCATTTTGAACGTCTTGTGTTTTGCTCTATTTACTGAATTCCGTTGAACCTTGGGCAAGGGGCCTGGCTGGGTATGTATTTCAGTTTGTGAAGGGAAGAACTCTAGAATTAATTGGATAGAAAACAAGGTTGTGTGTGGGAAAACTATAGTCGCAAATAGTAGAAGTCGCGCCTAAGGTAGGGATCCAAGTGAACAGGAAAGAAACCACCTTATCCACACGGCTATCTTAGCACTCTACTACCACCACCCAGAGCCAGAAACTCCGCCCGACACCCTTGATGGACAGCCACCTTTTGCAATCAGCTTCCCGTTCACTATAAACACTCCTTACTTCTCCCGCCCACTGCTTCCTTCTCTCAACCAATCAGAAAAATGGGCGGGATCATCCTTGTGGATTCCAGTTGTTTTTTTTTTTCTTTAAAGAAGGATAGACAGTGCGCCGCGGTACGGCTGAGGAAAAAACACCTCAAGAGCTAAGGGGAGGGACCTCTGTGATGAGCACGTCGATCTGCCAATGAGAGGCCACAGAAGCTCTAAAACCCGGCCACCTAGATGGGCGGGGCACGAGTGGGGCCTGGCCAATGGCGGTCTGGCGGACGGAGGTTGAGCCGCGGTGGGTAGGGTTAGTGTGAGAGGTGCGGCGGGGGAGGTAATGATGGTGGTGGCGGCGGAGGGAGGCGGGGGAAGGGGGTGCTGGGCGCGGAGCGGAGGCTCGGGCATGGCTCCCTAGGGTGGGGGACGGTCTCCGGGTGGTCCGTCAGGGAGGGGGCGGGTGGAGGGGCGCCGTCCGCCTGCGGGGCTGCGGACCTCGGCTCCGGGGAGAGCCGCGGCTGGCTTGGCACTTCCATGTGGCTCCGCCGGGGATGGAGGACTCGGTGGTGGCGGCGGCGGCGGCGGCTGCCGCTGCGGCGGCGATGGAGGAGCGGCTCTGAGGAGGGCGCGGGGGCCACACTCAGCCCGGCAGCGGGATTAGAGGTGTGAGGAGCGGGTGGGAGGGGGCGAGAGGCGGGGCCGGGCTCGGGAGCCGGCGGGGGTCTCGCGGCCGTGTCTAGGTGACAGGGACGGCGGCGGGCCACCGCCTGCCATGGCCAGGGGGGGCAGGAATCTGGACTCGGTGCCCGAGGACACCCGGGGCTCCCGGAGGCTGTTCCCAGAGGATGGGGGCGGGGAGGCGCCGCACCCCGCGCCCCGCACCCCGCACCCTGCGTGTTCCTCTAGCCCTGCGGGTCCCTGCTTCACCCCCCAGGCTGGAGTTTTCATTTCCCTGCTCTTGGCAGCCTGGGTGAAGGGGAACCCAAGTGGCCTGGAGCCGGGGACATTGACCTCCCTGTGCCTGGCGATTTCCCTCCACTCCCGGGTTCCCATCCATTTCCCCCTCTGACTGAACAACAGCCAATCCTCCCTGCTCCCTACTTTCCCCCTCCCCCCCCCCCCGCATATATTCCAGGAGTCAAGTCCATTAATTACCAGCTGAAAAACAAAGTTTATCAAAAAGACTTCACGCCGCCTCCCCTCTGACTGGCCCCGGGGACATTAAACGGCATCCTGAGACTTTCCCGCTCTGTTCTCCCTTCTGTGGTACTGGGAGGAGAAGGTAGGGCCCCGACTGACTGGAGTCTCTGGATGGTCATTGATGCCCAGTTACCTGATTTTGCTGCTCCTTGTCTTCGGTTTGAGCTGGCATTTCTCCCTTGGTATCTTACATCCTTTGATGTTAGTGGCTTTTGAGGCCGTTGTTTTGTTTCATTGTTTGAAAAACACGTAGACCACTGGTACTGTAGGTTACAGCCTTATCTAGTCACTTATGCCTTTCTTCTCATATTCTTTCTCTCATTTTTTTTCTTTTGTTTTGCTTCCCCCCCCCCCCCCCTCAGCCCTCCAGAATACATGTCACATAGCCCCGAATGTGGAATGGTGATGTCTCCGTGAGGGAGCTTCCTCTCACTCATCCTGTCATGTATATCATACTGCTTTTGACTGGGCCATTCATCTAAGATGGGATTTACCCTGTGAAACTGGGAGAAGACTTATGGACTTCCAAGCATCATTTCAAGTAGTAGTTGAGTTTTAAAAAGTACAGACTTACATGTAAAGCTCCTTGGCTTTGGACCTTCTGCTTTATTAAAGCTGCTGTGTTGAGAATCCAGAAGTGTTCCAGTGTATTGACCCATCACCATGGCTTCAGTTTGGAAGAGACTCCAGCGCGTGGGAAAACATGCATCCAAGTTCCAGTTTGTGGCTTCCTACCAGGAGCTGATGGTAGAATGTACAAAGAAATGGTAAGATGTATGTGGGGGCTAGAGTTTGCTGTCATGTGGCCTAAACTCTTGAGACTTTGGATACAGTGTACAAGTTGGAATGTAGAAGCTGGGCAGGGTGCAGAGAATGCTAATAAGTATTGTGATGTGTGCTGTTGCTGCTGGTTCTGTCCCTGTGGGTTTTAATTACTGTACTTCAGTGTGGCTCAGAGGACTGTAAGTGGGAGCACTCTAAGTGCAGTAGATTTGGTCTTGAGGTCATTTGTCATTAGTGTTAAATAACTATAATTTTAAGGAGTCATGAAGAATGGGCACTGAAATATTATAGACTCGTATGCATGGTTCTATTCTTTTTCTTCAAACTGGGGTTTGAGCTCAACGCCTCATACTTTTTGCTTGGCTGGAGCTCTACCACTTTAACCATGCCTCTAGTCCTTTATACACACATGCTTTAATGTAACATATCTACCTGTTTGAACAGTCTTAATATAGAAGTCTATAGTCTACAGATTGATAGTGATAGTTATTTTATATTCTTGGTTTTTTTTCTTTTATTTTGTCCTCAAGATAATGATTTTTTTTTTATTATTTGAATAATAAAATACCAGTCCACACAACCTTAGAAATTCTTTTGTTAAATGCTTAGTCAAGCAAATGTATTTTCTTTTAATTGAGTAATGATATACATTTCTTGGCTGGATTTAAAGAAGCAATTAGTAATGTTCATCTGTGATTTGCTTATTTCCACTTGAGCAAAGTAAATTTGGGTCTTTTCACTGCCCCAATGATAAGCAACAAGAATTCTTATTTAGTGAGGAAAAAAAATTAATCTTAAGCAAATGATCCTTTGGGTTTTGATTTACTAAGCACTCTACTGCGAAATAAGTTTATTTCATTGTCTACAAGGACTGTAATCTCATGTCTTTAATAATGTTATTTTAAACATCCTTTAAAATTACTGTTATAGAACTCATACAGAATATTCAGAAATTTATTTGGGAGCTAGTTTCTGAATGGTTTTCTCTTGAACTTGTTAGGAGTGTTACTTTAAGATCAACTTAAAAAGGCTTCCAGTGATTATTTTATTTCAGGTACTTTTGATTAGAGTTCAATACAACATCCTCTCCACCTTCAAGGAGCTTACACTCCAATGTATAAATAACGTCACTGTGATAGGAGCAATAATTCAACTATGTTACATAGGGATTTTTTTTTTTTTTTTTTTTTTTGGCGTCTGGTCTTGGTGCCTGAACTCTGGGCCTGGGCGCTATCCCTCAGCTCTTCAGCTCAAGGCTAGCACTCTACCACTTGAGCCACAGCGCTACTCCTGGCTTTTTTTTTTTCTGCTTATGTAGTGCTGAGGAATCGAACTCAGGGCCTCATGCATGCAAGACAAGGCAAGGTAAGCGCTCTACCACTGAGCCACCTTCCCAGCCCGAGATCTTTTTATCTTTCTCCATCCAGTTGGATATTCCTGGGGAGGCTATTTCTCCATCATTCGGTTTTCATGTGCACAAAAGTAATAATGGTATACTTCGTAGGAAGAGTAATTGTGAAAATTGAGTTATTACAAGTAAAATGTTTGGAATAGTGTCAGGACCATTATTACCTAGAATTGGGTAAAGGGAAAATGAAGTATTTGGACGATTTCCTGAGATTTAAGCTGGGTTTTAAAGATTCAGAGTAGTTGTCCAGGAAGCTGGGGGGAGACATAAAGGACATTTTAGACTGAAGCAAAAACTGAGACATTAAATATTAGGACATATGTTGGAAATTTAGATACTTTGATGTGTGTGGGGGTGGCTTAAAGGGTTACATGCGTGGAATTCAATGGGATAGGAGGTTTGAGAGGCCAGTGAGACTCAGATCTTGAAAGTTATGTGCTATAAGAAGGAGTGTGGGAGACACATGCAGTAAGTTTTGAGCTAAAGACACATTAGGATCCCTGTTGGATCAGTGTGGAGTAAGATTCATAGTGGAAAGGATGATTTTGGCAGTATGGGGCTTCTGAACTCAGAAACTCGGGGCCTTGTGCTTGTTAGGCAGGTGCTTCTACCACTTCAGCATGTGCCAGTCCTTTTAGTTATTTTTCAGATAGGTTCTTGTGCTTTCTTGCCTGGGTCCAGCCTCAGAGAACAGCCCTTCTACCTACACTACCAGCATAGTTGGGATTACAGGCATGTATCATTATACCCAGTTTGGGAAGGTCTTGCCAACTTTTTGCAGGGTCTGGCTTTGAACTTTGATCCTCCGAATCTCAACCTCTCAAGCAGCTGGTAAATTGTATCTTATGATAGAATGTTCTTCTATACATGTAGTTGTAAATATTCTGAATTTTTCTTACTCATTAAAAAATGCAGTTTAAAGCTAGCAAAAATATACTGTCTAAAGAATAATTTATCTAGTGGATTTTTTTTTTCAGTAGCAGGGTTTGAACTCAGGGCTTTGTGTTTTCACTTGGCTTGCTTGTTCATAGTTGGCACTGTCCTACTGTGCCATTCCTTTTTGCTGGTTAATTGGAGATAGAGTCCTTGTACTTTTCTACCCAGGTAGCTTCAAACTGTTATTCTCCAGATCTCAGCCTCCTGAGGAGCTAGAATTACAGGCATACATTCACTAGTGCCTGGCAGATATACTTGAATTTTATTTGTAGGTGGACCCTTAAGTAGAACTTAAAATTTTTTTTCATTTTATAAAAATTGGTTGTAATGATTTTTTGTTATTGTTTCTTTGCTTTACTTTGCTTAGAGTCCTTATAATACATATAAGTTAGGTTGATTTTTTACTCTTAATGTCAAATCATCTTTTTTTGTTTAACACTGCTAGGGGGGTTGAACCTAGGGCTTTGTTCATACTAGGAAAGTGCTCTAAGCAGAGCTATATTCCCAGCTCTACTTTTCATTTTTTGGTGGCCTAGTATTTGGACTCAGGCAGATACTCTACCTCTTGTCCCACTCTGCTACCACTTTTTTTGTATTGGTTATTTTTCATAGCAGGGTCTTCATTTATGCCTGAGCCAGCCTAGACTTTTTATTGTTGTTCCTAGACACTCTGGGATAACAAAGCTGTGCTCAGTCATTGGTAGAGAATGGAGCCTTGCAAACTTAGAACAGTGATCCTCTATTTCTGCCTCTTAAGTGGCTAGGATTATAGATGTTAGCCACTGCTCTTGGCCTCAACCTCACTCTTAAATTTTAGATAATACTTTTGGTGTATGGAAGAGCAAAAAGATATGAAAAAATTTGGAGATCATGATTAAATAAAAGTAAAACTATTAATGATAAATCTCAACACTGGGAGAATAAGAAAATATATATTATACAAATTAGAGAAGAAAGGCTAACCTATAAAAGAAAGAACTGTATCATTAAATTTGTGCCTTGGTAGTCTGTATATATAGGGGTCATTGTCTTGCTATTTAAAAAATTTTTTTTTCCCTGAGAATCAGGAACATTTACAATACCTAGGAAATAGATCTACTGAATTTGAATCTGTATTTTAACATGGTTTATAATATACATGATTTTATGCTTAATTTTTAATTTTTTTTGTGCTTATACTGGGGCTTGAACTCAATGTCATCCCCTCTCATTGACTTTTTTTCAATTATGAGTGATGTTCTACCTCTTGAGCTGTTTTCTACCTCCAACTATTTTTGGTTAATTAGAGATAAGAATCTCTTGAAATCATCTTCTCTCAGCTCGATTTAAACCCTGATCTTGAGATCTCAGCCTTCTAAGTATTAGAATTACAGACAAAAGCCCACCAGTACCCAGCAAGGAGTGGTATTTTAATATTTTTAACCTTACCAATAATCCATTTTTGATTCCAAGAATGTACATGAAAGCTACACCGATTTCAGCATGAATTTAAAACTCAAGGGACTGAAAATGGTAGATAGGATAGGATTCAGGGATTCCCATTTCTGAACTACCAGTATTGTATGGTAAGTCCTTTTCCTTTTTTTTGAAATATAATTTTAACTTGTAATTCATATTTAAATATGTAATACAATCACATTATCCAAAACTCTAACAGTGTAAAATGTAAAAACTTAAAGTATAGAAGAGTGTAAAATGTGCCTCTCATAGTTTGATACATTGTTATTGTAGAATTTGAAAACTAAAAAAGTAGTTCGTGTTAAAGTTTATGTAGCTGGCTTATTAGATAAAATATAAACCCTTAATTTGATGTTCCAGCTTCCTGAAGCTGATTTTAGTTCAGTTTTCCAATGGAAAATGCAAATGTTAACTTGAATTTATGAAAGCTAGTTAAATTTTAACGTATAATTTGGATACCCTTCTTTGAGTGGCTTAAACAAGCATTTGTTTGTTGACTAACAGAGTGATATAGCAGTACTTGAGTCTTGACTTAAAGAACTTTTGGAATAAGTTAAAAAAGAAAAGAAAAGCAAAAGGAAAGCTGGGTGTGGTGGGTGTTGTCCCAGCTATTCTAGAGCAGAGATAGAAAGGATTACTGTTTGAGGTCAGCCAGGACTAAACATGAAACCTTATCTGGGAAACAAACTAAAAGAGCCAAAGGATAGTGAGCTTTGCTCAGTTGGTAAAGTGTGAGACTCTGATTTTAATCTCTAGTACTCTTCCCCCCCAAAAAAAAATAAAAATAAAAAAGGAAAAGGAAGAATTACTTGGAAATATGCTTGGTGCGGTTTCAGAGTCTTTGGAAATCTAGATTTTGGAGTGGCACAGTGAATAGAGGTTAAAGGTTAAACTGACTAGAGGTGCATCTGAGATGCTAGTATGGACTAGATTATGTAAGGCCTTGAGATCATGGTGCGAGCTTGTGGATTTAAAGTGTGATAAGACTATTGAAAGGATTTGAGCAGGGAAATGATAGAATTTGTTTTAAATTTGCAAAAGATTACTCTGAACACTGGAATATGTACTGCTGTAAGAGTAGAAGCAAGGATATCCATTAAAAATCTATTACATGGAAGTGGCACTGTGGCTCAAGTCGGGCCAGTGCTTAGGCTCCAAGTTTAAGCACCATGACCAAAAAAA